ACCAACCAACCAAACATAAAAAACCCAACACCCCGCCAAAAAAACAACAACAACAAAAAACAAATAACAACAACAAACAACAACAACAACACAAAACAAAACAACAACAACGAGCAAAAAAACAACAAAACAACCAACAACAACAACAACAACAACAACAACAACAACAACAAAAACCCACTAACAAACTGACATGAGCTTTCAATCTCTATGGCTGGGTGAAGTGAAGAAAATTCGTGTAAAGTGCCTTTCCCATGGACCTTACGATTTCGTGTCTGAGAGCCTAACCACAAGGCCACCGACGCCTTTACTCACCACAGATTCAAAATTGGGGAGTAGGGGGTGAATTCCATCTTGACATGTGTTGGAGAAAAGAAATAATTCATTGTAAAAAATGTGGTCCTTCCTCTAGTTTTTAGTTTAGTACTAGTTTTACAGCGCTCGCAACTGCATAAGGTGATATGAGCACACGAAACACAAGGTGGTTGCATTCACAACAGTTCACAGAAGGGCTCGATTTTGGTTCGTAGTTTAAAAATCTAAATCTAAAAATGACAATTTCAATAATATTGAAATAACGGATTTACAATCCACTGTATGGCCTATAGCTTTTATAAAATCGAGAATTCTGTTGGGATCAACGATGAGGAACAGATTTTTAAAATTTTGTGCATAGAAAATACTTCCTTCCGGTACTTTCAAATAGAATCAAAGTCTGGACATTCTGTTTAGAAGTGTCTAATGGTGAACACTGTGTCACGTCCGACACAGAACGGTTGATCGTCTCTCTGATGGAGGTATTTATGTGTCAGGGTTCCCCAAAGACCCTTCAAATCTCTTATGTCGAGCCGATCAGACTTTGATCTTCAGAGACCGCACAGGACACTTAAGCACCAACAAGCACGTAAACACAATTAACGTCCTGTGGGAACCCCATTGGAGACCTTGTGACAGTGACTACCATGAGGAGACCGTTAAACATCTTCTCCTTCACTGCCCAAACCTGGCAGTTCTTCGACGCAGGCTCCTACACACACCTACAGGTTTACAAAGCCTGCTCTACTGTGGTGTTGACCAGATGACAAGGACATGTGGTTACTTGAGGGAGGCATTGCGCTGCCAAGAGCGAAATGCTCGCAGCTAAAGGGATTTGAAAAAAAACCCCAAAACAAAAATCAACAACAACAACAACCTGTGTCAGGGAGGTGGTTCCGATACGCAATCGAGTAATAATGACTCCATCTCTTCTTGAGAGGCACGAAGGTTGTCGTGGAACCATTTTGGGCATAATGTTGTGAAGTTTTTTTGTTTTGTTTTGGTTGGTTTTTGTTTTTGTTTTAGTAAGGTTTAACAGCGCTTGCAACTGCATAAGGTCATATCAGCACAAAGGGGTGGATGTCAACAGAGAAGTCCGAACGGGGAATCAGGCTTACTCTGCTCACCTCTCAAGCCTGAACAGCACGAAGTCTGCTTCGACAATCAAGTCAAGGCACCCCGGAAATAGCATTTGTTTGTTTGTTTGGTAAGTGTTTTACGGCGCTCGCAACTGCATAAGGTCATATGAGCACGCGGGACACACCTAATACTTTTAGTTGGTAGGAAATTTTGAATTTTGCCCCGGTGGCGGCCGAAGCCCTTGTCTGAGAAGGCTAGGTGTAGATCTCTCCTACCAGAAGATCAGGGGTGTGGCAGAAAGACAGCTGTAAGAAGGAGTCAAGGAGTAGCAGTAGAAAGGCTGCAGAGAGAGTCAGGAGCCCAGAGGAGGGGGCAAAGGAGGTGAAGGGGTGGGGGAAGAAAGAGGAGACGAAAGCAGACGACAGAACATTGCTAAAGAGCAGGAAAAGACAATTTTAGAGAAGAAAATTTTTCGGTCGCTATCCGGATTCGAACCCGGGACCTTTTGAATGAGAGGCCAACACCTTAAGTCCTTAACCTCTTGGCCACGAAAGCCCTCCTGGAAATAGCAGTTCACAAGAGAATGACAAACATTCAAAAGAAGTAGAGGAAAAATGACGATAGTAAGGATGAGGAAAGAAAAAGCAGTAGTTCCCCCTATGCTGTTCCTGCACAGTATGAGCATGCCATTGATAAATTAGCCCATTTACTATTCTTCTGTGCTTTAAGAAACTGTTAATATCTCCACTTTGGGAATGGCCTGAAGACAACTTCCGTCAGTAGCACTGCCCTGGTTGCAAAGGGGAGGGGGTGGGGGTATTGTTTATTTGTTCCCCTAAATTCCCTCTAGTTTTGGCAAAATCTTCCCCTGATGTTTGACAGGCGGAGAAGACAGGGATAACTCACGGGACACTCGCGATCTGGATATTCGAAAATGCTCGTTTAAGACCCCTGACAGACGAGCGTGTTCTACTGCACTGGAAGTTACTGCACAGTTTAGCGAAGCATTGGAATGAATGGGACCAGACAGACGAGCGACAGGCAGGAAATTCACGTCGGGCGCGTTGTGAGCATACATGAAACGTGACGCCCCAAAACGTGTATACGCCCAGAACACGTTGACTGGAATTTCACGCCCCGATCTCACCCGGCGTGTTGACGAAGAACTCTTGTTAGTGATAGCGGCCATACGAGTGACAAATTCCTGCCGCGTGCTCACTGACAAACTCTTCAAAACTTGGTTTCGGCATTCGATAATAAATGAAAAACTTGGCTTTATCTTCTTTGAGATCCTCATACAACAAACGTTTACTTACAATTGGGTGCACCCAAAATTTTATTTTTATTTCGTTTCAACAATAATTTGTTCATAACATAAAGAAGCACAACTTTTAGAGGTGGATCGTCCATGTTGACATGTGAGATGAAACAAACGTGTAGTTATATTCGAGCGAGATAAAATGTTGCTCTTCTGTCAAGGTCTCGGTGAACGACAATCCAGCGCAGTTTTTTTCCCCAGCACAGCATATCGCTCGTCTGTCAGGGGTCTTAGGGCACTTTTAAAAAGTAACAGAACTGATACTCATAGAGGTGTATTCAATCCAGTTTTCTTTACACCTGAAACGTTACATGTGAATAGTTTCATAAAACGGTTTCTGTTGTAGACAAGTTCAACTTCCTGTTCACCTTTCCTTACTGATCTTTCTTGAACGGCAATTGACATGTATTTCATGTTGGGGGTGTTTCCCTCTGTGATAGTCACAGGGCAGAGTTGTTCACCTCATTTCAGCAAGCATAAATACCGTTCTTGTTCCCTGACACAGGATACTTTTTAACTTTTACTTTACATTTCCGATCCTGCGGCCATTTGGGTTCTAGCCCTTCGGTCTGTCGATATGGCAAAGAATTTGCAGGTTTTAATCAGCTGTGCTTTGTCGCTCTAAAGAGTATTTCCGATGTCTGGGGAGGCAGGTAGGTAGGTGCTACGCAGACCACAAAGTGCTGGGCAGTTAAAGAGGTGGTGTGGTACTGTTTCATCCTCTTGCATAACAGGGAGAAAAGAACACAAACATCTACCCCTTCTCTCAACACAAAATACGCTCATAGTACAGACACAAAAATAAATAAACAAACACATAGAGACATCTCCCCTACACACACACACACACACACACACACACACACACACACACACGCACACGCACACACACACGCACACACACACACACACACACATACCACACACACACACACACACACATCAACCACACCTAAAGCTGGCAAAACAAAAATATTATGTTGCGGCACTTAAGTTCAGATTTCAGGGGAAATATGCCTGGCAGCTGCAACAGTTCATACTTTTATTTCAAAGAAAGTCTCCATTTTTTATTCATTGAGGAGGTTTTCAGAGCTTTGATCAATGAGATTTCACGTTTGAAAACAAAAGAATATTTATTTGCCGCGAAGATATCATTATTTTCTTAGCGATTTCGAAGGAGATTCTAAGTGGGAAAACAAAACAAAACAAACCAAAACATGGTGACAGTCGCAATAAACGTCATGTTGGTGTTTGGGGCGGGTTGAATGGTTATTGTGGCAGCTGTATTGGGGAGATTGTTTCAGGTGTTATTATAGATCTAGTTGTAGTGGTAGTGGCAGTTGTATACTGATTTGTTTCAATTGTGTTGTACTGATCGTTGCAGTGTGTGTGGGCTGTATCAGTCGTGTCGTAAACATTGCTGCAGTTGTATTGTGGTGTATGTGGCAGTGCTATTGTAACGTTTGGGACAGTTGTATTGCGGTGTTCGTTTCAGTTGAGTTGTAATGATTGCAGCAGTTGTGTTGTGGTTTGTTTCAGTTGTATTGTAGAGATTGCGGCAGTTGAATTGTAGTGTTTATTTTAGTTGTATTGTGGCAATTGGGGCAGTTATTGTATGGTGGTGTTTGTTTCAACTGTGTTGTAGAGATAGTGGCAGTTGTGTTGTGGTTTTTGTTTCAGTTTGCATTTGTGTAATTATGGCAGCTGTATTGTGGTGTTTTAGTCAGTTTTATTGTAGAGATTTGTGGCAGTTGTATTGTGGTGTTTTAGACAGTTGTATTTTGGAGATTGTTGCAGTTGTATTATAGATTGTGATTATCTTGTGAAAATTGTATTGTGATGCATGTGTTAGTGTTATTGTAGCAGTTGTACCGTTGCGTTTGTTTCAGCTGTATTTGGGTGGTTACGGCAGCAGTTGTTGTATTGTGGTGCTTGTTTCAGTTGTATGGTAGGGATTACTGCAATCGTTTAGTGGTGTGTGTGTGGAAAATGTGTTGTGGTGAATCTGGTGGTTGCTGAAACCGTAGATGTTGTAGGGTGGTAGCTTGTGGCTGATTCTACAAAGTGGTGACTGAACCAGTTGTTACGGTGGCGATATTTCTGATAGTGGGCAGAGAGGGGACTATGGTAGGATGATCCACATACTTTGTTGTTGTTGTTGTTGTTGTTGTTGTTGTTGTTGTTGTTGATACTGTTGGTATTGCTGTCATTGTAGTGATTGTTGTTATTGTTGCTAATGAGGTTGTCGCTGCCCCTGCTGTTTCTATCATAGCCGTGATGGATGTCGTCATTCTGGTGGT